ATGTCTTGTATTACATACTACAGATCACTTTTTCTATGGATTATCCTCAATTATGGACCCCCTTGCAAGGCGTCACGTGATCACGTCATTTGGTGAATAAAAAAGAATGTTTGCTGTAACTATTTCCGGAAGAAGGAGCGTGATATGTTTGCTCTCATGAAAAGAGGGATTTGTTTTTCTAAAGTAGAGAAAGAATAAGATATTAAAAGTTGTTACGATAAACTGAGAGTGTTGGTAAGCGTTGACAATATTTTTATCTACGTGAATGTGTTATACAACTTGACATGTCTAGCTATTGTGTATCTTTGAATATAAATCTATTTCATTAAGGGGACGAAGGATGTATGGTCTCGTGACTCAGTTTACCACAGAATTAAAAAAAAAAAAATACTGCTTGTTTGAGTTCACCATCTTGTTTAAGAATAACTAAAAACATTCAAACTTTCTTGCAAATACTGTATAAAGGATTATTTTCGCCCCGTGTTATTTTTGCCCTTTTGAAATTGTGGACAATCTTGCCCCGTTTTAAATTCGCCCAATCCGAGTTCTGTTTAAAATAAACTATGAGGTGTAGTTTGAATTCGCCCCGTTTTACATTCGCCCAATCAAGGAGAGGGCGAAAGGGGCGAAAATTTCCCTGTATACAGTAGTTTCAACTTACAGATTAGATTGATCCACTCTTCTGCTTCCCTACACTGCGCGTCCAACGAGTCGCTGCCGTCGTAGTGGATCTTAGTACAGTAAGATTATACATGGTAAAACATGGGTAGTATAATATCATAAAACGGGTCATGATCAGTACGTGGTGGGATATTTTATGAATTATAGAACACAAAAAAATATTTTTACATGGTTGTTGAGGGAAATAATTTGTAGTAATGTCCCACTTAGCTCATTTCGCACATGTGTGACGTCATAGTAGGGTTTTCCCGTACTCGAGAAATGTAAACATGACACGTTTTTCTCATACTCATATCTTGTTTAAATATCCCTGTGCAATATTGAGCTCAGCTTCGCCAATCGATATTTTTCAGTTAATCAACAACATGACGAACTTGATTTCAACGTAATTTTTCAAATATTGAATGATTGGATTTTTTGTAAATTAATTTTTTTTTTGGTCGTTTAAGTTGTCTTACAGAGAACGTAATTTTCCGTCGCCAGATGCGGTGTGACAAAAGAATCTTGCTTTTTCGAATTTTTAACCCTAATCAAAAATTGAAATACATGTATTTTAAAAGACACATGTTCGCCGACATATTTTTTATCTTTGCTGAAAAAATTCCATTATGGACCGAGTAATGGGCCCAGAAACACGGAGAATAAAAATTTCACTCACACACTGTGGGGCATAGTATTTGTCACTCAATATCTCAGAAATAAATCTAGAAATCTATTGATATATCTGCTTTAAGGTATGTGGGACATACTAAATATGAGATGTACAAAATATGAAAAAAATGAATGACAGGTATTTTTTTCAGCTAAAGGTCCTTCATCCCCTTAAAATAAATTTAATTTATATCTTGAGATTTATGTCCTCATTTTAAAATTAGAATTTTATTTAAGATTTTTTTTTTACAATAGGATCTACATCTACGTACAGATAATTTCCAATAACAGATTCAGACGGCGTGATTTGCTAGATCTACATATATAAATACATTTTATTGATAAGCAAAAGCAAGTTTTATATATACTTATTATGATGAAGACCACGTTTGCCTAGCAAACATATATTTTTTAAATATTGCAGAGGATTTTGTTTTATCCTAAAGATCTTTAGCATTTTCAGCAGTGACATCGGCCATGTTAACATTAAATCATCGTCGCATATATAGCGTAAACGATTGCTGTAAAATGTTTTATGCGTCGTATTGAAACACAACACACTTCCAGAGAGGGAAGCTATGGAGATAAAAAAAGCATTTGAACTCATCATGTCAATTGGAATATAGTGAAAAAGGAATTTAATTTTTTTGAAAAATCACAAGGACATGAGCATATATGTTTCAATTCCGCATATATCTAAGCGACGCAAAAGCTTTTTAAATCAACGATTATAAATTTTTGAATCTATAGTTTTGACGTCAAGTGTGTCATCATGACGTCACAATAGTGAAAGTGCTCATCCGTGTACAGGAGAAAATGGAGTGTTCTTTCACTTGCAAAGATTCGGAAGGAAAATATTTGTAAATGTAATTATGTAAAATCAATTACTATAATACGCCTAATAAGATTATTAATGGATGACGATACGTATATTTATTTCAAAATATATAATGCAAATACATTATAGTTCTGTGAAATAACTTTTCAATATAATGTGTTCAAATATCTGACTCTCCAAGATTCCCTCCTTCCCCCATTCAGGTCACTTAGAAGATAGATCACTGAGTGTTGATTTTGCCTTTAAGGAATGTTAACTGGTTCAGAAAATATTATGTATTTATACTGATAATATAGTAACAAAATGAATGTTTTGGAGATAAGAAACAGAGTTTGAAAAAATAAATGTTATTTTCGTCACCACTGTTGGTGATAAGTAAATCATTATCCTTCACATATAAAATGAGCATCAGCTGCAAGAGTAAAAGTATTTGTCTGTCTATACGTATGGCCTTTATTGTCTTAAAACAGATTATGTATATAAAAGGTCCAACAACAAACCATCATATGAAAACCTGTGAAATCTTTTAATATTATAGGAGGGGGGTGGGTTAGTGAAATGCGTGTAGCTTCAAAATGTATCCGATTACCTTATTTCATATTTTAACGATAAGTCACTTATAATGACTAGTACACCACATATTAGTTTTGGGAAAAATAATTGAGTAATTTTTTTTTCTAGACGTTAAAAACTGCTTTTGGGATGAAAATATAACTACAAATTTACAATTAATACTTCCCTAAAAACAATGACATTATTACATTTATCAAAAGTTTCCGAAACAATTTTTATTTTCATAGATATAAAGCTTATTATTAAATATCTCTAGGAAAATATTTAATCTATTTTCAGTTTTGTTGCGTGTAAGGCATAATAAAATATTCACCTCATAAGTATCAATAAATTGAAAAATGGTGGTTACCATGGCAACAATAACTTCCTTATAACCCCGAAAACCATGGTTGATACTTTGATATAATGATATCATTGACAAAGTGCACATTATATGTAAAATGAGAAAATTTCATTGGACGGAATTTTTAACGGACCCTTGCAATCCTTTCCACATTATCTCACATTGCTGTAAAGCCTGCATAATCCAGGGTATGTGTAAAACACAAAAAGAGAAAACAATAAAAAGTCAGCTGAATGTGAAATTAATCAAAGAAGTGCTTCTTTACACTAATGTATTTGTGTTTTTAAAGTTTCCCCTAGAAGTTAAAGTGATCAAGCCTTAACCAGTTAACTTATTGCTCTTCAGATATTTGAAACTATGCTTATAAAATCTGTCAAGACACCATGGCCACTGTAAGATAGCAGCGTGAAACAAATCAGCACCTCATTAACAAAAAAGGAAATCAGACAGAAGTTTCCATTCACCTTGCATCCGTTATACTACATAACAAAATGTAAATCAAAAGTACAAGATAATTGCCACGTCTTTGTTGATATAATGGCCATTGTGGGTCTCTTTGTGTTTTGATAATGTAACACTCTAACAAGTTCTCACGTATATCGGAAAATGAGATGACAGATCTAATCAGCACGAACAAAAGTTACAACAAGCACAAAGCTCCAGCATCATCTTTTTCAAGAGGCTCCACCCTTTGCACTATCTGACCCTCCATTTTGGAGACATTTTGGAGACTCATCCTCCGAATTTTACACCAAGCCTTTATAATTTTAGAGGAAAAGATTTCTAATGAATTCCGACATGACATGTGAGTACAAACATTTTTTATATGTCATTACTTGAGAAGGATGCAACCAATTCTTTAATGGTGAAACGGGTACCTCACTGGGAGCCAGAATTCGCGTACATAAACAACATATTCAAGTTCCTGAGTACCGTAAGGTCAAACTCAGCAAACACATTGATAGATGCGGACAAGGGCACTTTAACGTATTTCCTTTCTATAAACTTTTTAAAGGAGGATATGGAGATAACAAACAATATTCAATCTCAAAGACCATTAAACAATACAAAATAAGAGCAGAGCAAACACGGACCTCCGAAACATCAGAGGTGGGATCATGTGCCATGGAGGAGTGAGCATTTCCTGCTTACCGGTCATGCCCGCCGTGCGCTCTTTGTCTTGATCAGGAAATAACGGAAAAATCCGTCGTCAATACTTTGTATAAATAATGGACTAACAATTGGTATGAAAAACATCAGTCAGCATTTGACTCAATGATAAATTGTATTTGCTAACAAGATAATTGTATCGACCAAAGAACTTACGAATGATGACTTAGAGGAGATTGCTGATATTCTTGTTTCATCAAGACAATATAACTGAAAGAAGAGAAGAAGAAATAAACCTCATTCAAAAACTAAACCCAGTCTTAACAGTTTAATTTAATTTGATTTCCGACAAAACTTTCACATATATTGTAACCTTTCCATGTTCTCCAACCAAGAGTATAAAACATGTCGGATTTGGTTTCAAAGGTGTGTACATACTGCAAGCATTTTATTGCTATTTGTCAGATTCAATTATAGAGAATGATTTTTAAAGACGTGAATACTTTGAAATGACATGGAAATTTTAATAAAGTATTAATGAACTATCGTATTTTTGAAATATTTATTACATTGACAAAAGTATACACTCATGTAGTTAATTATTTCAGATTTTATATATATATTTCATCGGTAATGGTTTTCCTCAACTCATATGACTTTGTTATATATAAAATGTTCAGGGTATTTGTTTCAGTCTTCATCCTTTAATGTTTATCTTATCTGAGGTTACATGCCTTAATTCTGATAATTTTCTTATCAAGCGTCATGATAGAACAGATCGTGCATATTCATGTAGATGAGTACGTGTAAGTGGGAGGATTTTTGTCAAGAAAAAGTATAAAACACATTCGGAAAATTGGTTTATTACACAGAAAATACCTCTGCCAGGAAATCTTTCGATCAGTGCAATGTAAGTCTCACAATAGCTGAGAAAGCAATAAAACTTTAAATAAAGTATTATTGAACTATTGTATTGATAAAATATTTATTTCTTTGACAAAAGTGTACATACATCTCGTTAACGTTTGCAATTTGTATTTTTCATGACTGATTGAAACTCTGTTTAAGAAGGAAAGGATATTCTGTACATTCTAAAAATAAAGTTTATTTTTTGTGTTATTTATATTCAATGAAACGTATTTTTAATTTTTTTTTTTTTTTTGTTAAAAACATAATGAAGAAACCTTTCTAAAAATAATTCTACATTTGAAAAATTGTCAATGTTAAAAGAAAAAAAAAAGACATCTATCTTCTACGCAGCAATGTTAAAGCTAAAATACATGTAAGGGGGTGGGGCCTAATTAATACGGGAAGTCTACTGAGGCATCACAAAAATCCAGTTTTTCCTCGTAATACCAGAAAATGAAATAATTTGCAACTTTAAACTGTATAAGTATAATAAACAATAAACCGTATTAGTGCATAAAAAATAGCTGCTAATTAAATCCCGAACAGCAAGGAACTTTTCAAAAGATGTGTTTTAATAATAAACAAAATGTTACTTACAGGAATTTAGAGTCTATTAATACCAATGTAAGACTTTGTCAAAGTGAAATTATTTAAATCATAATCGAGAGAAAAAACAATCGAGAGCATGTATTTTAATCATTTTACCATGCTTTTGTGTGAAATTTTGACATTCTAAAAATCGAAGTGCCTTATTTAATTGCCTTTTAGCAAGGGCATCTATGAAATAAATCTTAACAATTTTTGAAAGAAAATACATGTAAGAGATATGTTCCTTAATCTGAAAAGCGCTGCTGCTTTCTTGAATTCGAGAGTCGGACGTAATAAGGACATAAAATACTTAATGAAGGTCAAACATATTTCGGCATTAGCCCATTTTTTAAACAAAAAAAAATGCGAATTCTAATCAAAGTAGCAGTGGTTTCAGGAAAGTACAAAGTATACAGAAACAATTAATAACTTTAATTTTTAATTTCAACCATAATGTGCCTTTTCGATACTGGAATTTGAGTAGGACCTACATTCAGTACACATACTATGCATTTATCAAATGACTGTCCATCAATGGGACCAAATCAATTCAGTACAGAGTTGGTTAAACTATTGCATTTTTATAAGTATATAACTTATGTTATAGCAAAACACCTTACTTTTTGCGCGTGTATATTCTGTTAACTTCTTTGCAGTAAGCCTTAATATTGCTGCGTAAAATTCAGTTTTGTGTTGCTAATATCATAAATTCAAAACTGCAATTCATTCTCCCCCAAAGATGTAGAAACTGTATTTTGAAAATGAAAACTATTGTGTCATTACATATTTCATTATTTTATTTCTTGAGATATATTATCTACAGAGAATTATAATATAGAAATCTTCATTGTATTGAACTATTTAACTGTTATATATACATTTTTTTCTTATTACAGTTGACCACCTCTTCTACAATGAGTATCTGCAAACCGTAATTTTTTTTATCGCTCTTTACTTCATATTCATGGTTCTATAGATTGCTTTCATCTTCATAATCATGTTCCAGTACCATCCTAGAAAAAAGGGTTTGGGGTTATTTTGGGTATATTTTGAGATTTTTATATAATGATGATGGTCGAAACGACGATTCAGATGTAGTAATTTTCTCTTTTGAAAAAAAAAATGCCATAAATATTATCTTCATTATCGGATTGTACGATAATATGATAATAACTACATCAACGAAAAAAAATTAAGTCTAGATTGTCATTCCATTTATGAAATTAATACACAGTTATGATAAGGCAGTACCAAGGTTTAAAATGCATTTAAAATAAACATTTTATTTTGAATTAGATTTTAATTACAATATGTAATTCTTGTTTGAAATTACAATCAACGTTAGATAAAAGTTTAATATTAAAGTATTTCTGTGATGTCACGTTACTGTGTTGATCACGTGACAGACATATAAAAATCTTAAATGTTTCACAAAAATCTCTTTGGCACAAGTGCAAAACAAAATTATTACGAAAAGTTTGTTAGTTAAATCAATTCATCGTGATCTCTGGTACACTACAAGTGCTGAAGGCAAGTTTCAGTTTTACTACTTTAGAAAATATTTTATGAGAAATTCAAGTTACCAACCAGGGGATATTTCCCACTCTTAATCGCGATTTATACAAAAATGGATAAACTACATAGTTATTACATTATTAAACTTAAAAATTGCATTGTTGAATTTCTGCTTTAAAACTCTTTGAAGATTGTCTTCAAGGACACAATTTCAGAACAAATTTTAAAAAATTACAAACAAATTGTCGGTTTTTAAATGAAAAGAATAACAATCTCAAAGCATTTATCCCATATTTTGAAGAAAAAGGTAAATTATAGACCAATAAACTGTGTTCATTAAAGAACAAAGGAAAAAAATCTGGCTGGTCAAACAAAGGGCCCATATCTCTGGATTTACCATTCAGTGGGCCATGATAAGAGTAACAGTTTAGTATTAGAAACTAACAAAGGTTCATAATTTACAGGTTCATTTGATGTATGAATATTATTTTTATCGAACTGACGAAGACTCTCTAGAATTCGGCTCTAATATTTTAACTATGGCGTATCTATAGCAAAGAGGATTTAGCTGTGGCGCTACGGAATTTAATTTCGGCGGGTTGCCATGTTATACAGCCCATTGTGAAACCTGTTTGTACAAGATTACTTATCATACATAACTATGATCTTTTTCATTGGTTTATTTGGTACAGAATATCAATGAATTTAAAAACGGATAGACAGTGAGGTTCTAATTATATAAAAAAATCAGATATAAATCATTTCATATCTGTTTTAATTCTTTCCTTTATCTCCACATTGGTTAAAATTTAACAATGCAATCGGTCTTTTCTATTTTATTACTACCCTTTTAAGTATTTCTCTATATATATGTTTTACAAATAAAAAGTGGATAATAATAATTTTTGTTCACCAATCTATCATTTCCATTGGTGACCGTTGTGTCAGTCCAACATAAGAAATGCGACGGAGGCAATCCAGGTTATAAAATTTAGATTAAATTGTCATCTTACTAAGAGACGCTTTATAACCAAAATTAAATTATATAAAGATAGATATATAAAAAGATAGATGAAAATTAAAATAGTTTTTATTTTCTTTGAATAACTTGAGTTTATTACCATGTTTCTTATAATATTTGTCTTAAAAATAGAATTTTCTTCTGTCTTGAAACTTCCAGCTTCGAATTTCTTTTTTTTTCTCTCCATATTTTAGATACAAGTGTTACGAAAAGCATAGTCATTGTAGCATGGAAGAAGTGAAGGAATGCAACAAAATGTATCTTAAGTACGTCTATTTATTTTATATGTTTGGAGAATAATATCCCTAAGATTAAACTATGATTTATCGAGGGGTGCTTTTTAAATATCACATCAGGATTTGAAACAAAACATCGCATTAACATGGTAATTTCTCTTGACCTCTTTAAGTAAAAGGGGTTTTCTGCTATCAAATAAGTGCAAATGAGTAAAATACATATAAAAAAAATAAAAGACTCATTAAACCACCATGAAATGTATGGAATTACTTATTGCAGTAACTCTATCCTCTCCCTACCCCAAAATATATATCTTTAAGGACCTTCGATCCTGTGCTTTTGAGTCGATTTTGGTTCTGTCCTTTATTTATACAATTCTGAAAAATTTTTAAGTTCTAACTTTAAATCTGAATTCTACAATTTAGATTGAACTAAATTTAATAGAAAAAAAGCCGTGATTAAGTTCCAGTCAAGTAGAATTAAGTAAGGAACTATACTTTATATTTTTTTCTCTTTTTAAGCCAAATGTATAACAGTACTGTTAATTTCAGATTCCTAATTTTCCATGCTGGTTGTTTTTTTTTTTTTTTTTTTTTTGTAGTGAAATAAGTTATGCTTGTTCTGAAATATCTATAAAATCATTTCTTTTGAATTCTTTCAACGAAGGGTGACAAACAAAGAAAATATAATCTGAAAATCTGGGAAAAAATTGAGCCAATTTTAACGTAAAAATGACAATTTTTTTAATATATCTAAAAATTTATATAAAAAACCCCCAATTTTGATGTTCTTTTCTGAATATATAAGATAACCTCGACCTATTTGCTAAAATTCAGAAAAAGTTTAGGACTTCAGAATGATTTTTTTTCCTTATTAAATTTTCAATTCAAAGAAAAAAGATTACATATTATTAGTGCAGAAAGTTCAAATGATTGATTATGAGAAGCAGTTTTAAACTTTTTCTTAGTCACACTTTTAAGATGCATTTTTAAAAAGGACTTAGAGTTCATTTTGTTTCATGCTTTAATTGGATAAAAATGTTGGAGAAAAAACGTCGAAGATGTAATAATAAATAAGACAGAAAACTCAGTGCAAAAAGGTCATATTAAATGTATTGTAGCGCCAAAAAAAAACATATTGACTCCCTTTTTTTTCTAATTTGAATTTTAATTAAGCTATGAATGTAGAAACCAAAAATATACCAGGCAAAAAAAAGTTTAAGACTTTAAATATCAGGATCAAACGTCGTAAGGAAACGTAAGACATAGCTATAAATTTGTGTTGAAAGAATCCTTTGCCCAAAAAAGTCTAGACACTTTCGACAATGCTAACTTATCTTGAATGTGCAAGTAGACTAGTGCTAGCATTATGGCCGTACACCGAATGCAAGCCTCGTGATTACACACCGTTTGAACTTGTTAAATAAAGCAAATCTCAAACCACACAATTTAGAACTCTTAAAATAAGCACCCTGTCTTGTTTCCTATGCTTGTTACACTATATATAAAGAAATTAAAGACCATTCGATAAAATATTACAAAACGCATTTTCAGATTTCTATAAATGTAAAAAAATATATATATAATTTTGATGTCCATCCGGTTAAGAAATCTTAAAATAAATCTACTTGTATCTGTTTCAGGACAAAGACATTTATATGCATACGAAACCATAAGCACAATGATCCGTCTGAGAAAGATGACTGCAACAGAGAGTCAAGAAATAGATATTTTCTGGACTTTTCTCTTAAGTGGGTGTTTTTATTTGTTGATTTTTATTTTTTAAAATGCACAATCAAAAAAAAAACTGTTTTCTTTAGGTACAACACTTACTATCAGAATAAATCAACGAGGTTGTGAAATTGAATCATTTGATGAATTGCCACGGAACTAAATATATCAAGTTTTGAAACGTACTTTTCTCCTCATTATTATAGTAGACTAACACACAGGTAAGAAGCATGTGATAGAACATTTAGCTAATTGTCTAGTTGGTTTTCTTATGAAAATGATATTCACCCATTATTGTCTGCATTTGTACCATATTAAGTCATCATGGTTGAATATTTAGTTTGATGACACGGTTTCGTTGCATTTAATAAATGTATTTTTGGTTGATATCGCCAAACATACATATTCCCTGATTATTGCGACACAAGACCAAAAACTGAAAAGTTAGTGAACCTATCTCTTTGAACTGATTTAATTAAAATTTGCACCCTAAAAAACAAGCAAAATGCTTAGCATATTAAATGAGTACACACTTGTCCTGTCTTCTAGTATTTAGTAAAAATACATGTATATACATAGACCTAAAGTATGAATAGTTCACTATATACCAGTGGTTTTCAATAATTAAGTCTTAAAGAATTCCCTTTAAAAATTTACTTGTGGTTAATTACAGGTCCGTAGATGTAACATTTTTATCCAATTCCTGGTTGTTTTTAAGAGATATTTTTAAATATGGCCCTTCGTATACTGGGATATGGAAGTTGATAGGTTACACGATTAGTAAGTACTACTTCATTTGACAAAGCAAATTAGAACAATGTTTGTAGTACTCATTTTTTGGATTGTATTTTAAAAGAAAATGGATTAAATTCTGCAAGGAATGGTGTATATTACAGGTAGTGAACACTTAAAAAAAGGTTTCAAATAACTTAAGAAATCAACAATTTCAAAACGTACGTATACGACTCTTTAACACTTAATATGAAAATTCCAAAGGATAACGCAAAGTCCAGGTTGTTAGCTCTAGGTGCTTTGTCAAAAGAATTTTGATTTTGTAAATTTACTTACCTTGTTATTAGTCGTTTTCAAAATCAAATTTTTAAAACCATATATTCTGTTTAAATCATACGTTGATGAGATTAAGAAATGCTTAGATTTCTGACTGAAAATATATATCGAAGTCTTTGGAGATGTGGTTGTCCTACAAAATGTCAGAATTCCAACGGATATCAATAGCTAGCATACCTATTTTTGTTTTTATTTGGAGAAAAATTTAAAAAAAATTCATGGAAAGAGATTATTTTCGAACAAAATCGTTCACGTCACCGTTAGAATTTATTGTTTACCAATCTATTTTATCATATATGTACTGTAAAGAAGAGTTACTTCGCATACGACACATTTTTTCATCTGAAGGGAGACAACACATTAGTCTTTCTAATCGTGTGGACAATATCACGAACTGTGTCATCGCTTATGGCCTCCTTTAAGACATTTAGATTGACGGTATAATTCTACCTATGATTATGCTAAATATTGTGACTCGGGGACCGTCCTTTATATCAAGTGATAAAATGTGAGCATTCTGTAGGGTATGTAGGTTGATTCTAATAAGTTTTTTTTTTTAAAAAGGTTTTTTTTAGAAAGATAACCATGAAAGCATACATGATTAACTTTCACCTTCATTTGAATCCTTCTCATTGTTGGTTCTTTCAGTTTCGAATCAATAACGTAAATATTTGACAAAAATGTTAAAAACATATCTAAAATTTTTTATCTTTTCTTATTTCTAGCCAATTTGAGTTTATTTCGGTAGGGGTACAAAATGAGAAATCTACTTTTCATGGGATCGTTCTTTTTTCAAGTGAAGTTTAAGATAAACTATTAGAACATCGATCTTATACTAAACTGTGAGATGCAAAATTTAAAAAAAAAATCATTTAAAAAGTATGCAATATATAAATACAATCATCTAAGGTTAGTTATAATGTTTTTTTTATTTTACACAGGCGTGAAAATGGAGAAAAAGAGAACTATACTATATCAGGTCCTGCTTCAAAGGAAACGGAAGAATTATTTGGAAGGTTTAAAATTCAGGTATGTTTTTTTTATAAGATAACTTCATTGTTTTTTAAATATATATTTTTTAAAAAATTTGCAGATATTTGAAATTGTTGAGATTTTACCCTTCTGAGTTTTTTCTAATAAACACATTGCGCCGTTTTCTCTATTGCAAAGAGTCGTAACAGCAGGTCAGTCGCCAAAGCGCTTGTTTGATAAAAAGGTCGTTGCTTCGGCAGCGTCTAATCTAATCGGCAAAGGTAACAGCTGTTCATTTGTCAAGCTCACGGCTTTACAGTTGCAGGTCTTTCGAGTAAGGTCATTAAAAGAGACCCAGAATTATGGCAAGCGTAGGTATAATAAAGATCTTAAACATATCTTTAGTCATAAGTGTAGAGATTAGGTCTAAATCTTAAGACATTGCAGTAGTCTTTCTATATATTAGTGAAAAATACTCGTACATGTAAATTCTGTACTAGAAAAACAAAACGCAGCTGTTGGAACGCATAATTATGTTCCTCAAACGAAGTAACAATATATTGAAGAAAACGAAGTAACTATATATTGAAGAAAGGTAGTGCAGAATCTTAAGAACTTTAATGTAATATCAAGAAAAAAGGGACTGATTCCTCAAAATAGGGGCTCACAGGGACCAAAAGTCTTTAATCTTTAACCTTCTCATTATCAATTTTTGTAATACATTAATCGAAATTGCGACAGGAACCCCCATCCCCGGGCACAGAGTAAAATAACGGGTTTTTTTTTAATTCACTATTATCTGTTGGAGTACTGCATAAAAAATCTCGTTTTATCTAAATTCTAATGCAAAATATTCTATATTTATGTGTCTTTTGTATTCTTTTATGATGATTATTTTAGCTAACTTCTACATGTATCTGTAGACAATTCCCGGCCATGATTATACTCGAACAACATGATGGAAAGAGGCATTCAAATTATTTGAAAATAGATTAAATTTTCAAAACTAAATAAGTAATGTGCTGTCATGGTTTTTATTGAACAGAGAAATGTAAGAGAGAGAGAGAGAGAGAGAGAGAGAGAGAGAGAGAGAGAGAGAGAGAGATCCCCTCGATTCTCAGGTATATGTTTTATCAAATAAAAATTCTTAGTATTTTTCCTAAATATTACAAGCAGTAAAGGTATTCAATTTGTTTTACATAAACAAATCAATTAGACGGTAATCATTTGATTTTATTATCCATCATCAAGTTCACGCTGTTTACATGAAGTCCACGTGCTAGTAGCGTGCATGTCCTGTTAATCATAATCAGTCGAGACAGTGGAGGTGTGGATATCGCGTTTCACCGAACATTGAAGGCGACGAGTCACTTAGTATTTCCAAGAAGTTTTAATATTTTTCCTATCATTTCTAGATCTGATTTTTGCATTCCTGCAGAAAAAAATAATATTAAGAATATATACTTAGAAGGATTAAGTTTTAAACTGAATTTGAAATATTTCCTGCCAAATTAAGATAATACTGTCGGCAAAAGTTTATTCTAAAATACCCTTGTTTAATGACCTTTTGATGTTGGTTTTATTATGGGGGGACCTATTTCGTTCGACGTCAAATCAGCGTTATGTGATGTCACAATAGCGACGTTTGTTTTTTTTTCCGCTGAATTTTGCAACTGTGAATATGTGATTATAGGCATAGCATTGTTATTTAAGGAATGAATTTAATAGCTACCCATTTTATACAGTATAAACTGGGTTGGGGCAGTTTACGCTAAAGAAATATAAACCACGAAGAGGTTTATAAAAAGCGTAAATTGTTCCAACCCAGTTTATACCGTATAAAATGGGTAGCTATTAAATTTATTGCTTATAATTTAATTTTCATTCATTTGAAGTAAAAAAAGATGATTTTTCTTATAAAATGACTTCAATTTGAACAAAATTTAAACGTAACTCAGGCGGATTGATACGTTTTTGACTCAAGTCATTGTGACGTAGGCAACCCATTTTGTACAATATCAAATAATTTTTTATCCAATCAAATACATCGCTACAACCAAAATTAAATTATTTATCAATAACGTACGCAGTTTACAAAATGATTTTTTTTCATCATTTATAACAGTATTATTTGATTTATGGAGCTTGTTTATTTTAGAGGTCTCTTCCTTTGGTTGATAATTCATAGCAATTTCAGTTGTAAAGAAATACCTCCATGATATACTGATATAAAAGTACACAAAACATATAAGATAAAATTCAGCAAAGAAAACGGTTTAAATTATGACTATGATAATTATAACAATTATAATATGTTTTATTTTATGTTAACCATTAATTCTATTTTATGGATAAAAAAAAATCAATAAATATACTTGTACCTATATTTCTTTATAGATTTTTAGTATATACGAGGGTTGTCCGTTAAGTTAGTGGACAAGCTTGAATTAAATAAAAGTTACATCATTAATATTTATGATTACATGTAGCATGTTTCTAATTCTTTACTAAATGTGAACTGAGAAGTGTAAAATCGGATTCAATTTCAAATGTTTAATTACAATTATGACTTCATAATTAGACTTGGTATGGAGACCCGGAGCACCGCAAAATTTTGATTAAAAAATCATTTATCACTTTATAACTTTCATTTGCATTTTATAAAATTCTGCAGAATTCTGTATGACTTTTACATTATGAGGTTGACAGAAGTTACCACTTCAAACATGCAAGGTCATCCGCGTGGCGCAGTGGTTAGATCGTCTGCTCTAGAGTCGCGAAGTAAACAGTCAATCCTTACGTCGCGGGTTCGAATCCCACTGCGGGACGTGGAGACCGGTCCTTCGGATGAGACCGTAAAAACCGAGGCCACGTAGGTGCTGGCACGAAAAAGATCCCTCCCTGCTCAATGGCCCAGAGTGCCGAGTATAGGACAAAATTTGCAGCTCTCCACCGGCAAATGGTGGCGTCTCCATATGAGTGAAAAATTCTCGAGAGGGACGTTAAACAATATACAATCAATCAATCAAGCCTGCAAAATTTGAACATTCAAAGTTGTAAAATGGCTGAACAATCAGAGTTAGAACATATTGAAACGGAATTGTTACAAATGGGACATTTTCGGAATAGGTGGAGCAGTGAGCAATGATAAAATTCTGCGTAGACATCGGAGAAACAACTGCAGAGACCAATACATTTTATAAACAATCGGAAAACATAGTAAAAGAAACCGTTCAGTAGTATTGAAGTGGCATATAATATTTTCGGACTGAAGGAAGAGTTTACAGGATGACATGCGTGAAGGAAAACCATCATTCCGAGAATTGCTGTGCTGTAAAAAATGAACTTTGTAACATGACTTAACCGTATTTCCGTAAATGAAATAGTTTTTACGCGGACAGGGGTTGTAGAATTGCAGGATATGAGACAGGGATTGTTAAATATTATTTACGTATGAAACGTGAACATTTTGTGCAAACATTTATGACTGGTTAAAGGGACATAAGTAATTTATTGAGTTAAACAGTGACTCTATTGAGAAAAGTTACATGTACTCGTATTATGACGTCGGGTAACGTCAAGAATTTTCAATTTAGTGCTCTGTGTATAAGTGTGTTTCATTTTTAATCTGATAAAAATATAACTATTTGTGCTCTGTTTCTGTTGAAAACTTACATGTTAATAAAATGAAACAAGAATTTAATGAGAAAAAAGAATAAAGAAGAAAAGAGTTTATTCATTTAAATTATTTCTAACCAAAACAAAATACTCGTTTTTGTGCAAAAAAGTTTTATAATCAGATGTTTGTCAGTGCTTACTTACCTGTTTTTAGTGCAGAAGGGTCAATATTTTTGACAGAAAAGTACAAAACTAAAAGAAAACGTCATATTTCTCGTTTATTTTATCATAAAGGTACACTTTCTTTCTTTGCAAAATGAAGAGAGTGGTCATTTCTTTAGAAAAAAAACTATGAATAACAAAATTTTCACACACAGACATTTTAAGATATTACCTGTTGAAAAACGGGGTGATACTTACATTGTTCCCCTTTATAATTTTTCAAGCGATATGAATTAAAATGAATTTGCCTTCATTTTAAAGATACAACTTATATAAATTAATTATCTGTTGATTTTGAATGTGATTTGAAATTTTTAGGTACTTTTTAGCGCATATTTGGAGTAGAACATTAATGTGTGAAAATAATCTATTTTCAGCATTTCACACTGTTTTTGCACTTGCTCTTGTGTAAAAATAAGACTATAAAGGTGTTGTTTTTAATACCTAAAAATGAAGGGCAAGTGGTCTGGAAGGAAATGTAAAAGTTGAAAATTTAACACAGGTTTTTTGGACATAGGTTCCCCATTAAGACTGATTTTCTTGTGTTACAAAAGACATTAAATATATTTCGGGAGAAAAGGCACCGTGTGTGTGTGTGTGTGTGTGGGGGGGGGGGTGTCTTAATTATACTGAATCGCAAACATATATTTAAACATAGGCTTAGGTACGGTGAAGGAAGGAATTTTCCTTCTTGAATATTTTAAACAGTTGGTCCTTTCTTAAATTTAAAATCACACTATCAATTTAATTGGCTCCAAAGATATTTAATTAACTGAATATTTGCTGTACTGTTCATAATTCTCAGACCTTCGTGAAGTTTAAAATACGTGTTACCGTAGAAATGATTTCTTTGTGTATTTTTGTCAAGTAAAAGACTTGTATTAATTATTATACATCCAATTATGATTTGTCGTCTTTAAAATAAAAACATATTGAGGCCAAGTGTGAAGCATTTGTACATTGACCTTTTTTTATTTAAGTTAATATCTTATCATCGTTCTACATACATATAGGTACTTAATGTATTATTTTCCAGGGTAATGTCATGAAATAAGTAACAACTGAGTTATAAAAATAGAATTATGAATATCATGATAGATAATTTTTTTGAAATGAAATTAATTATTCTTCAAAAACTATATCTAAGTTATTTAATTAAAAACGTGTAAATCCTTACCATAAAAAGATAAGCCCTTTCACTTCGGAGTTCCGAATGACAATGAAGACTAAACGAAAAGTGAAGGGTGGATGCAAGGTGAACGCAAATTAAACGGAACGAAGAGCGAACGGTGACCGTTTTGTGAACGCGAGCGCACGATGAACGGTGGACGCAATACTGTGATAGAATTATGTTCTAAACAATATGTATACCGTTATTTTTGTGAAATGGTCTCATTACAGACCTGTAGGAGTGTCCCCTCAATATTTTCATTCATCATACCTCCAAAAGTGAAAGATATCTGAATAGGTGTTGAACTAAAAGTCTTTAAAATCACAAGACGTTTCATTTTGATATCAAGAGAAAGGAGCAGCTGACCCCTCACATTAAGGACTCACTGGGGCCAAAACTTTATCATCTTTAACTGTTTAATGATCAATATTTTGTAATACATTGTTGAAGCAAAGATATTCATCCTAGCGCTTTGCAACAATATATGATAGAATTTAGATCATAGGTTACGTAATAAGGGGTCACAATGGCCAGACTACTCAATCTTTGATGCTTTATATCGTGATAGGGAGAAATTTTTAAATAATCCATATTGAACGAAATATGTTTAAGATATTGTTCTATGATCAAAAGAAGGAAATTTGATTTAAAAAACCTTTATACCATACTCTTTCAACGAATATCTCAGTCAAAATCGCATTTAATCTTATCGAAAAATTGTACAGAAGATCTGCTTGTTTCTAGCAACAAGATATCATCTAATTATTTTTCTTCTTCCTGACAGTGTGTACACTTTTTTCCGCGAATTATCTTGTGAACTACACATCCGATTAAAGTGAATTTTTTTAGGGTCATTAGGCATGTTATGTAAATTTCTGGAACGAATGTAATTTTGCACTCAACACGAAAAATGACTAATATTATTGACATGGACGTAACTTTTAAAAT